CGCTATGAATCGGATATTCCATGACTACTTGGATAAGTTTGTCATCGTGTACCTTGATGACATACTTATTTTCAGTAAGACTGTCGAGGACCATGTGGCACATCTGGACAAAGTCCTCGGCCTCCTGCGATAGCACAAGTTCAAGATCAACGGTGAGAAGTGCAAGTTTGGCCGCACCCGTGTCTTGTACTTGGGTCATGAGATTTCTGCGGAAGGATTAAAGCCCGATGACGCGAAGGTGGCCAGCATTCGTGATTGGCCACGTCCTCAGTCTGTGACTGAGATGAGATTTTTCTTAGGAATGACGGGCTACTATAGGACTTTCGTTAAGAACTACAGCATAGTGGCCGCCCCTTGACTGATCTCACCCGCCTTGACACCCCTTGGGAGTGGACAGATAAGTGCGAGGCTGCTTTCAGACATCTGAAGCATGCACTGACGCACTATGAAGTCTTGAAACTTCCTGATCCTGACAATCCGTTTATAGTCACAACGGATGCCAGCGAATATGGCATTGGCGCCGTGCTTGCGCAGCAGGAGGGGCCAAAGTTGAGGCCAGTTGAGTACATGTCCAAGAAAATGTCGTCGCAGAAGTTGGCTAAGTCTACTTATGAGAAGGAACTCTATGCGGTGTACAAGGCTCTCACCCATTGGAGACACTATCTCCTTGGGCGGTTCTTCATCCTCCGGACTGATCATCAGACCCTGAGATGGATGAGAACACAACCGGTACTCTCAGATGCTCTCAAGCGTTGGATCGAAGTCATTGAGCAATATGACGTTGACCCTCAGTATCTCAAAGGGGAGTACAACAAGGTTGCTGATGCCTTATCGCGCAGACCGGACTTCTCAGGTGCGCTGATTACTGAGTTCGATCTGACGGACGATGTTACTCAGTCTTTGGTGGAAGCCTATCGTCAGGACCAGTTTATGTCTGAGATCATACGCAGACTTGAGGCGAAGGATAAGAAGACCTCCGCCGAGTTTGAGTTGGTCAACGGATTGCTGTTCCTAGAGAAGGCAGGGAATAAACGCTTGTGTGTTCCAAATAGCGAGTCTTTGCGTAGTTTGTTTTTAGGTGAGTGTCATGATGCCACCGGCCATTTTGGGTACAAGAAGACCGCAACCAACTTGCTGCAGCGGTTGTGGTGGCCCACGATGATGAAAGATGTACAACTGTACGTGGAAACTTGTCAAGTATGTCAAAGAGACAAGCCCCGTACTCAGGCTCCTCTTGGGCTGCTCAAGCCCCTTCGGAATCCGGAAAGGCTGGGTGAAAGTTTGTCCATGGACTTCATGGATACGCTGGTCACCAGCAAGAGTGGGATGAGACAGATCTTTGTCATCGTGGATAGGTTTAGTAAGTTTGCTAGATTAATAGCTATGCTAGAAACAGCAAAGACCGAGTACGTGATCAGGTTATTTAAAGAGAACTGGGTCAGAGACTTTGGACTGCCGAAGTCAATAGTCAGTGACATGGACGTCAGGTTCACGAGTGAATTGTGGAAGGCCGCTGCAGCTGAACAAGGAACTCAACTGCAGATGACTTCTGGAAATCATCCAGAAGCTAATCGCCAGGCTGAACAAATGAACCGCGCTGTGCAACACCTGTTGAGGCACTACATCAAGCACAATCAGGTAGACTGGGACGAAAAGCTTGCTTTAGTCGCCAGTCTATATAACAACGCTGTACACAGTGCTACCGGGACGAGTCCTAACAGTCTACAA